AAGGTCTCTCCTGCTTCCTAAATGATGTGGCAAAAGGGAGCACCCCAAAACTGCGTGGTCCTGACTCTTGCCAAAGCCGCATAGTCCCAACCCTCCAGCATGGCTGCTGCACCTCGGTTTAAGTTCCAGCGACAGTCTTTCTCTGCAGCCCCATTTCTGATTCCTCCCACAATTGGCTACACTTGCCAGTATTCCCATATTTTTCCAGCTTTACTGGGCTGTCGTAGTAAGTCCAGGCAGGCCTGGCCCCATAGCGTGGAGCCAATCATCTTCAAGCTCTCAAACAAGCACTGTAACCAGGGGGAGTTGCCTCTCGTTTACATCCTGGGTGGAAGTCACTCCTATCCCTCTGGCTCAAAGCACAGCCACAGCTATTTAATATATCCATGAAACCAGGTAAACCTTATAGATATGTTAAATGACCATGGCTGAGGTTATTTGCAAAACTGTTGGTATGCAAAACAACTCTCAATGGCCCGGCTCCATGTGTCCCATCGCCCAGTTCAGACCTGCAGGGGTGAGGACATCCCATATTTTTAAATATTTCCTGGACACCCTGAGTTCTGGACCCCATTACAAGTCCCTATTTGGGGTTCCCCTGGCTGCACCCTGTTACAACCTTATAATAGTAGCCAAGCAGAACCAGCCCCTGAGTTCAGGGGAGCCTTCCTTTCCTCTGTGCTGCCTCTCTTGTGCTCAAGCATAAGCTTAATAAAATGTGTCTGGAAATTTCTCTGGGGCTTCCTCTCAATTTCTATCTTGGAAAACCCAAGAACCCCAATACTGACAACACTTGGGTGTGGGGGCAGAGAATCAGGCTTGCTCTAAACACTATCAGAACACTTCTTGGGGCAGGAGAAATGGGGCTCTCACACCTGGTCTCTGGGGGCCTCACAACTCAGTTGGGGGAGAAAATGGGTCACCCAGCTGGGGTTGAAAATTACCCACTCTGATAACCCAGGGGAAGGTGGGGACTTCCCACAGGTAGGTGATTCTCACTGAAGAATTCAGTGATTCTCACTGATGAATTCTCTGCAGTGATGTCATCCCATCAGCCTCACCTTTCCAATGCACCTTAGATCTCAATTCAAAGTGTGACAGCAAGTTGGAGGGATTAAACCCCATTTGCTCTGATTACACATTGTTGGACAGCCATTTCTGTCCAACCTGTAGGCACCATTTAGTGTGGTGGTGTTCCGTGCAGTGCACTTTGAATCAACCACATTGCCCGGCTTCAAACCCCACCTTTGCCACTGCCCAATTGTGTTGTCTAGGGTAAGTTACTTAACTGCTTAGGACACAGTCTCCCTATCTGTAAAGTGTCGATAATGATCCACTCTTATAGGGCTACTGGAGTAATAAAATGGGACAATAAATGCAGTAATAGTGTCAGGAGGCCACAGTGTCATAAGTCAAAGCCTTCTTGAAAATCTATAGGGGAAAAAAATGACACAAACCATTTGACCTTTTCCCTCCCTTTGATGGTCCTCCAACTCTTCCAGCAAACAAACTCCATCAGACAAACCATGCAGAACTTAAAGCTTCAGGGGCAGGAAGTAAGTAGGACTAATGCTATTATTTAGGGTTTGTCAAATGTAGTGGCCTCTTTCTACTGAGTTAGACATAAAGTGGCTGCTTTGTGCTTAACTTCTGACCTGCCTGCCATGCCCTCGTGGCCTGCCACCCCCAGCTGAAAATGAAAGAGAAAGGAATAGCAAAGAAAAAACTCTTTACTACCAACCTTGTGCTTTCCTACCATCTATTTCAGTCTCCCCCTTTTACAGATGTAGGCAGATGGAAAACGGAAAATCATCCATGACACCTCTATTCCATGTTCATCTCTTCTTGCTCTTCTCTATTCTCAATCAGTTCCAGTTTCCTTGTAAGTTATAAATCCCACAAATGGTTTTCTACCATTTCCATTGCAATGTTAATCCCCTCAGTACAATACTTGCATCTTACTTGCAAAGATGACCACAATTCTCTGACCTCCTTGTATGCCTACTTTTTGCAAGGTGTCTTTGAAACTCCTTACATCAAGGCCTATTTCTCATACAGATGAGTCTATATCAAAAGAGATTAGTCTAATTCTCATCTCTTGAATCTGGACTGGCCGTGACTTGCTCTGGCCAACGGAATGTGGCAGAAAGTGGCACTGTGCTACTCTCAAGCTTTAGCCTCAGGATGCCATGCATATTCACTCTCTTGGAGCCTTGATTAACCTGTTGGAGGATAAGAGACATGTAGGGCTGAGGGGAGTCAAACCACAGAGACCTTCCTTGACCCAGCTCCCGGCCAACCTGGAAGCTGACTGAAGACTCATGAGTCAGCCCACCTCACCTAGCCAAAGCAGGTGAGCCCATCCCGAACTGCCAGCCTTCAGAATCATGAACTAAAAAAATGGCTATTGTTTGAAACTACTAAGTTTTGGAGTGGTTTGTCAGGTGGCATAAGCTAACTGGTAGATTAGGCAATAAAAATACAATTAAAGAATGAAACTTATGTAATATTTTGCCTGCGTTTATTTACCCTTCTCAGTTTAAAAACTACTTATGTTCTAGTCCTACTGTCATGTCCATTATCATTAGAGCCTTATATCTACTAAGCATAGGGCAAGTATTGAACATTCTGGACAACATAAAGACAGAGTTGTTCAAGCAGCTGCCATGACAGGCATACACATTTAAAATACAAGGTGAAAGACACAAATGCCACCAATCCTATGGCAAAGGCTGACCAGAATGAAAGGATATCATATTTCAACATTCATACCAAAGTCAATTCTCCAATTTCACATCAGAAAGTATTTTCCCCTTGCATAACGACCTGGTGAAAAATAGTGCTTCGGAGCCCTGCCAGTTCCTGTTGTTTGGTGTACCGTTGCTTTTTATTGAAGTTACTTATTTATAAAAGTCATAAACAAAGATGTTTTATCTAACAGGGAAGACAGAGGAAGCAAAGAAGAAACCTCTGACCTCAAAAGAAAAACCTGTAGCATCAACATTAGACTCATGCCCAGAATCCTACACCTCTCTGTCTTTTCATTATCATTCTCAAGAAAATTCACATATAATGCTCTTTGGTGTTTATTTAACTTGCAGTTATTTATTTTTAAAGATTTTATTTATTTATCTTTAGAGGGGAAAGGAAGGAGAGAAATATCAATGTATGGTTGCTCTCATGCATCCCTCACTGGGAACTGGTCTGCAACCCAGGCATGTGCCCTGATTGGGAATTGAACCGCGATCCTTTGGTTCACAGGCCCACGCTCAGTCCACTGAGCTACATCAGTCCGGGCAACTTGCATTTATTTATTACTTACCACAAGTTAGAGTTTGTGATAGAAGAAATGAGAAACATGTGACACAGACCAAGCCCTGGCCTCAAGGAGCCTGAAGTTAAACAAGATACAAACACTGATGATAAAGAAGCTTTCAACTGCAGAAATGATTACTACTTTACATGACATGAAAAAGTGTCTCTTGTAACCTGAGCAGAAACCATGGAATCTAAGCTCATGGAGAGAAGGCAGACAGCTTCCTGAGAGAATTGTGTGTTTAAGCCATAACCAGCAGATTGATCTAGGGTTCAAATTAAGAAAATAGAGTCACAACAGACTATGTAAAGATAGTTCTCCAAAGTTACTTTCTTGTCCTCTTACTTCAAATGGGTGTGCTTTCTGTAAGAGCAATTGTATCTGAGGGGCAGCAAGGTCCCCGGCTCCTGATCCAGAAGGATCAGGAGGTTGGGACGGGGTGGATCTCAGAAGCTTAGCATCAGTGAGGCCTGAGTTCAAATCCCATCTGCCTGTGTGGCCTTGGGTGAGTCACTTCATCTCACTTGGCCTCCATTCTCTTACTTGTAAATGAGTGTAATGACACCTACTGTAAGTGGTACCTCAGTGGGAGATCATGTGAAATGAGATCATGTGAAAACAATGGCGATGTTTATTTTGCTCCTGACCCTGCTGTGGGAGTAGTGCTCAGCAGGATGCTTCATCAAAGTCAGCTTGTCCCAGCTCCACTCACCACCAATGGGGGCAGCTCCAAGGCTGAGGCCAGAACCTTCAAAGTCTTGCTGACAGGTCAGTGGGACTTAGCTGGGCTGTCAGCTGGAACACCTCCATGTGGCCTTTCTATGGGGCTTGGGCTTCCTCACATCATGGTGGTTGGTCTCAGAAGCAAGCATCCAAAGAACGAGAGAGCCAGGTGGGCACCACATCATCTTTGCTGACCTCCACTTTGAAGTCACTCGGTGTCACTTCTGCCACATTATCTCTATCAAGGCAGTCACCGAGTTTCACCCATATTCCACCAAGGGAAGGAAAAGTAAACTTCTCAGCTTGAGAGGGCACTGGACAGTTCAGGAAAACCAGCAATACTGCTCTGGCCACTTTTGGAAAATATCCTTTCTCCCAGTGACCTATAAATAATATCCCTTTCACACAAACTCCCTTTCAATGTGGAGATCTATGATTACATGAAAAAAATCATAGATGAAAATTAGGGATGAGAGGAAGGGTAAGTAAGAGATGTATGAGAAAAGGAGTAAAGCTTTTTGTTGGGACAGGGCCTCACCATCATGACTGTCCGCTCTCAGTCATCAAACAGGTTTTCTTCATCCTCTGATGTCCCCATGTCTAAGATACAGGCAACATCAGTGCCCACATGGTGCTATGGTGAGAACTGAATAAACTAATCAATTAAACTGCTAGAGCCATGCCTGGCTCATAGTGCTCCATGAATGTGAGCAGTTGTATTTTATGCTCTTGAAGTTCCTGAGCTCTCCTGATCATGGCTTGGCCCTGTAGCCAATGCATTATAAATTAAATCCTTCGGATAATCTGGGAACAGGTAAACATCTGGCCCTCTGAAGAGAAAAGTCACATCCACACCAACAGAACCAAGCTAGAGCCCACATTTTCATTTTGTTGAAGAACCTGGAAATGAAAAGCAGTCCATGGGTTGTCACACACTGGGTTATATAATCTTGTTACATACCCTTGATGCCAGCATCTCCTCTCATCTCCCAAATTAGTTCAGCCCCGACCTCCCCAGCATCTTAAAGGGCTTGCTCATTTTATCTTTTCCAGTAGAAGTTCAAAAGTCCGGATTTCTTGTGTCCATCTACAACACACAGAATCAAATATTTAGGGTTTCTTAGGCATTTAAAAATATATCATGAACACTCGCATAGAGGACTTGCTCCCTCATGTGGCTCTGGGAGGAGGCACTGATAGATGGGAGTATAATGAGTGGCCTTGCCACTCTATTCTGATCCCTTACCCCCTCCTCTGGACCAGGCAACTGAAGAGGGGACCTTCTTTATCAGAATGTTCTCTAAATCTCTGTGCCAATGCTCAGATTTCTAAAACTCCAAATAGTCTTCCACTTAAAAAAAAGGAACTAATTAGCAATGATTAGTCAATTAGTATTTTCTATCAATTAAGTACAACTTGTTTCTTTTTCTTCACCTTAGACTTTTATTTTTCGAGTACAGTTTTTTGTCTATTTCTCCCATCCCAGACCCCCCACCCCGTGCTCCTCACCTCCCTCCCATTTCCTCCCCCCCAGTCCTCGTCCCTGTGTCCTTCATACTTGTTCTTTACCCCTTGCATCAAATTAGCTCATACAAATTTAAACAGTCCTTGCAATCTACTAGTCTAGGATTTAGAGATAAAACTAACCTGAATATAAAATTACCAAATCATCACCTATTTCTTTGTTTTTTTTTGCATCAACACCATAATTTTCAAAATTAAGTACATAAATGCAGTCATCTAACTTGCAAACAAACAGAAAACCAAGCACAAATATAAGGTCAATGTTCAAGTTCCCTTCGACCATCATCACTAACACCCATAGCCTAGATCCTTCTCAGAGGTGAACACTGTCATAATTTGGTATTATATCTTTACAGATTTGTGCATTCAAATATTCAGTCTCTCTCAGTTCTTTTCTAAATTAATACTTATCATGTGTCATCCTGTACTTAGCTTGTCTCATTCTCAAGATGTCTTATCTTTTTTTAATGATATCGTTCAAAAAACTCATTAATATTTCACAGTCTCAACTCCTCCAGCAGGCTGTATAACTGAACTCTGACTTTCTCTCTTGATATACTCTCTGGCCAGTGTTACACACATTTATCCCTTGCTTCATTCTCTAGATATGAATATCTAGCTTGGAATATCATCTCTGCCCCTTTGTATTTGAGAACACTAGCTCTCAAGCTGAAGGCAACATTCTTCATCTTAATTCCCAGCTGAGAACTTCAGACAAAGTACTTTATCTTACTTACTTGGGTTCCCTATGTGTTAGGTGGGGTGACTGTAATAATACCTACCCCAAAGGGTTGTTCTAGGAATCAAGTAAAATCATCCATGGAAAGCATTGTCCCATTATAGGGTACTTAGAAATTGCTTAATAAATCACCAACACTAGTCATTGTCATCATCATCATCTTCTTTTTTTTTTTGGTAATAATTTAAATCCCAACACTTTTTCCTAATTCAGATTTTCCTCTGAACTTGAACTTCACATATCGACAGGGCTACTAAAAAATAGCCCAAGTAAAATTTAAGATCCATTTATATTGCTTTACAACATCTTCTCATCTTTGCTGCTATACAGAGAAGAACTTGGGTTAATTAACTGGCCCAGAGTACTGAGTGTGAGCTGCTGTCACAAAGAGCAAAAGGGGCCAGGAGCAAGGGAAGGTTATCCTTTCTAGGCTTAAAAATCTAGTGCTTCCTCCAATACATTGTTTATATTACCATATTAAATGAGTATGCACAAATAAAATACCAAATGTCTTATTCTAGTGATCTTGTACAACTAAAGCAAGCAAAATTATAAATTAAATAACAAGAATGTAAACACTACAATTAGAAGAGGAATCCAAGATGGTGGCAGATTAGATGGAAACTACACTCTCCTCCAATGTCCAAACTGAAATTACAACAATCAATCTGGATACCCCACTGAATACAAGCTGAACAGTCTTGTAACCAAGGATTTGCAAAAGAAGCCACATTGAGACTAGTAGGAAGGGCAGAGATACAAAAAGAGCTGGCCCACACCCACATGCAGTGGTTGAAAAACCTGAGGGATATCTTAGCTGCAAGGTTATCCCATGAGGAGCACAGGCTGTCAACCCCATCTCCAGGACACCACAGTGAGGAAGAGGAGTTCATATAATATCTGGCCATAAAATTCAGTGGATATTTTGTCTGCCAGGGAGACACTGGAGACTGCCAAAAGTCCAGATGGCCTCTTAAAGGAGCAGCATACAAAATCTCGTCTGTGGCCAGTCATTGGGCTATGGCAGAGGGAGGGTGAACCAGAGAAAACTAAAGTCTTGAGAGAACAGACTTAGATGTGTAGCTCCAAGGAGAAAGCAGAAGAGACAAAAGTGATGGTCCTTGTGCTGAATCCCAATTCCACATTCCCCACAGATGCCATCCTTTCTGGATCCAGCATTCCCTTCCACAGAGCAATATCCCAGAGAAATGCCATAAACCTTCCCTCTCCACTCCTTGCCTACTCTCCAATGCCCTGTCCTGTGGAGCTCAAGTCATGATGAGAAGTTAGTTGATTGGACCCCGGTAAAGAGTTTCTTGGTGGGCTCTTGAGGGTAAACTCAGAGGATGTCGGAGATTGAGTTGTGTGGCTCTGGAGTGGAGCAAATTGCCCCTATGCTTCATTGTATTCAACAGCACTCTCCCCGAAGGGAGATACACTAGACCACCTTGTCATACTCACTTACTACAGAGGAGTCACCCAACAATGGCCAGCTTGGGTCCTTGGTTCAAACTATCTTGGAAGGCTCTCGAGGACTTCCAGGCATAATCATCGAGAGACTGAGCCATGTGGTTGTAGGGTGGAAGCCATTTTTCCCTCACACGTCTGACTGGTGCTACATTCCTGTACAGAAGACTTCCACTCACATGGCCAATTCTTGATCTGTTTGGAACTGATGAACTCTGTTGACCTCATCCTGACTACTCTCTGAGATACCACACCAACACAAGGGTCTGAAGGTACCTTACAGGTGGCAGCTGGACTTTGTGTACTCTGAGACTTTTCTGGGTGGCTTAAGTCCCACCACCGATGCCATGTTTGGATTTGTATTAGTCTGGTGAACAACACTGGCCCCTACCTGGTGACTGACTGAGAATCCACTTCAAACAACTGGCATACAGACAGAGGCTCTTTGAGTGACTGAGGTTAACAGGCATCTGGCAAGGAGAGGTAGATCTTGGAGTGCCTTGAGTATTATGCTGACCTGACCCAGGAGCCGGTGCTGGTGGAAGCCAGCCTTGATGCACAGCTGGGCCTTGTGCACATATACCCAGGCCCAGCAGAGGCAGCTGCAAACTGTGGATCAATTTGTAGCTCCAAACAAGTACTATAGAGCCAGTCACAGGTAGCACTTAACATTGACCTGTACCAGAGTCCCTCAAAAGAGATACCAGGGGACTTCTGCCAAGATGTAGGTGTAGGTGGAAACACATTGCATCCCCACACAACCAAATCTAAAAACAACAAAGTTTTAACACCAATAAACACAACCAAACCACATAGAAAATCAACAATATGGAATCCGAAAATAATGAACCGCTCAGCTAAACCAGTGAGAGGGGCAAAGCCAACAGCGGAGCTGGTCGGGCAAAAAAGATCCCCTGACTCGGACAGTGCACAGGCAGCCGAGGGTGCAGATCCCAGGTGCGGGCTAGCTACAGGCAGAGACAGGGAAGATGCGCGGCTGGCTATCTGCGGTTGGTCGCGCATTTGCACGCAGATAAACCAGTGAAGAGGTGAGCATTGAGACCACACGATGCAGGGCGGTGGGCTCGCACATTTGTGCTCAGACAAATAGGCAGGGGCGAGCGGAAAGGACCACCATTGCTCCCTCTCTGACCCTGCCCCCACATACAGCATCACAAACCAGCGACCTGGGTGGCCCCACCTGGTAAACACCTAAGGCACCTCTCCTCATACGTAACAGGCACAAACAGATAAAAACATGGCTCAAGAAGAACTTAGAGCCCCAGAGCTGATAAATCTAACCGATGAAGAAATAGCCAAACTCTCAGATGCACAGTTCAAAACACTGGTGATCAGGATGCTCACAGAACTGGTTGATTTTAGTCACAAATTAGAGGAACATATGAAGGCTAAACTAATTGCAATGAATGGTAATGCACAAGAAACCAATAGTAATGGAAAGGAAACTGGGACTCAAATCAAGGGAGTAGACCAGAAGGAAGGAAAAAATGACCAAACAGAAAAATATGAAGAAACAAGAATTCAAAAAAATGAGGAGAGGCTTAGGAACCTTCAGGACATCTTTAAACGCTCCAACATCCGAATTATAGGGGTACCAGAAGGGGAAGAGGAATAGCCACGAATGGAAACCTTATTTGAACAAATAATAAAAGAGAACTTTCCCATTCTGGCAAAGGAAATAGACTTGCAGAAAATCCAGGAAGCTCAGAGAGTCCCAAAGAAGTTGGACCCAAGAAGGAACACACCAAGGCACATCATCATTATATTAGCCAAGATGAAAATGAAGGAGAGAATCCTAGAAGCAGCAAGAGATAAGGGGACAGTCACCTACAAAGGAGTTCCCACCAGACTGTCAGCTGATTTCTCAAAAGAGACCTTACAGGCAAGAAGGGGCTGGAAAGAAGTATTCCAAGTCATGAAAACCAAAGACCTACAACCAAGATTGCTCTATCCAGCAAAGTTTTCATTTAGAATGGAAGGGCAGATAAAGTGCTTTTCAGATAAGATCAAATTCAAAGAGTTCATCATCACCAAGCCCTTATTATATGAAATGTTAAAGGGACTTACCTAAGAAAAAGAAGATAAAAAAGATGAACAGTGAAAGGACAGCAAACTCACAGTTATTAACAACCACACCTAAAACAAAAGCAAATTAAGAGGACAGCTAGATCAGGAGTGAACCATAGAAATGAAGATCACATGGAGGGTTAGCAACAGGGGAGTGGGAGAAGGAGAAGGTACAGAAAATAAGTAGCATAGACAGTAGGTAGAAAATAGAGAGGGGGAGGGTAAGAATAGTAGGGGAAATATAGAATCTAAAGGACTTGAGACACGTG